GAGAGAGAGAGAGAGTGTGAGTGTGTGAGTGTGTGTGTGTGTGTGTGTGTGTGTGTGTGTGTGTGTGTTGGTGGGGGTAAGGGAGAATGAAAAACACATCATTCCTTCCTAATCCAAAAACCAAAATCTGGTATCTGAAGCTGCTGTATTCCAATAATATTCCCAAAAGCCATGTACGTTATCCCATAAAATGCACCCTCAAAGTCTACAAATTCTCTAGAGGGTGTTACCAAAATGCTACAAATGCCTCCAGAAGTTTGACTCTGATCTAGGGAGAATATGATCCCCATGCTTCAACAAGAACAAATCAGATTTTGTGTTTTTTTAGAATCTTAAAATGTGCTGCACCAATATGCTTTAGATAGATTCATATTTGAATTATCAATGAATAAGCTTGAAAAGGTAAGTGCATCATCCTAAAACCAAAATTCTAATTATTCGAAAAGTGCTAATCCACAGGAAAAAAGTACACATAAACCAAACTAAAGAACCAAAATAAATTAGTACCTCTTCAGTAAGAAGTTAGAGTTAAGAACTCACACAATGGAGCCTAAAATTAAAGTAGCACTTTATCCTTAAATATTAGGATGTAAAACTATGAAACAGAAATGGAAGGACACATAACAGTAGAAAATCTCTATATTTGGATTACAAAACAAACCCTCTTGCATAAAGAAAGAAAATATTCTAATGAGAATATTTTAAACAAATCCTTAAAAGAGGGTGGGCAAAGATGGGTCTAATAAAGAGGGAAGTAGGAAGGGAATATAAATATATATTGAAAAAAATGGGATCTACTTTGCTGAGGGAGATGTGTTTGTATAGAGCTCCCAGTAATCTAAAAAAAACTCATGAAAAAAGGGGAGACAAATTGCTGGGAAGTCTGTATTTTGAAGACCAGTTTTGAGACCTGAAATGCCAAATACACTAATGCCCCAATCTCTTTTTAAGCCTCAAATACTTTCTCTGAAGAAATTTAGCAATTATGGGCCATCTTAAGAGTCTGCTTTTTTGAGGTTTAATGTGAATGTCTTGTATGTGCAAAAATCTATTAATCAGATGAATATAAATTATTTGCGATAGATATAGGAAACTAAAGATACAAGTTTTGGAGGCTTTCTGAGAAGAGGCTCAAAAGGAAGTCAGGTAGTGAAGACCCAGAGCTACGTCACTACAAAATTAAATCTGTAATATTTAAATCATGATTTTATGTGCAAGGCAGACGAGGAGAAAATGCCAGGAGTGTTGGCATCTCTCTCTCCTCTCTCTCTCTCTCTCTCTCTCTCTCTCACACACACACACACACACACACACACACACACACGCATGCACGCACGCACGCACATGCGCACAGGACACAGGATCTGATCAATTAATTCATTTGTTCAACAAATACTTGCTGAATTATATACCAGATATCATACCTTCACTGCTTCTATACTTATTCTTGGTAACTTCAAATCTAGAAATTTTCTAGTCCTCCTGTCAAGACTTCAAATAAAAAGATGTTTAAAGTTTCTATTCCTGTAAAATTTAAAACATAGCTACCTGCCTAATACCTCAGGAAAAAACAGCACATCTAAAGCTATTGGAAGAAAACTAAAACTTGCCTCCTTCTGAGACCAAGTTACATATGGCAAAATTATAGTCTATGGACTTATGCCTTATTTTTAGCTTCTTTTTTGAACATGGGTCTTCTAGACCTGCTATATACACTGTGGAGAATATAAAGTTTTAAAAAATTTAAGAAACTTCCTTTGGATTACAATATTAATACTTTACTGAGTTTAATGTTTTTTCCTATTTCACATCTAATAAGAATTAAAATTATATCTTCAACACTATATTTAATAATTTTAGTTTTATGAGAAAAATAATTTATAACAAACATATTTCTCAACTAACAAAATGACTCATTGATAAAATGGCCAACATCCACCCTCAAAATACTGATGACAGTACTATTTTTCCCCCAGCTTTCCCCACCACATACTTACCTGTGCAACTTCTTTCAACATTTGCTACTCTGGGGATTGGAAAGCTCAGAGCTGGAGGCTGAAGTGAAGAAGGAAAGGTTGGAGGGTGAACCATGGCACCAGCCCCACACTAGGCACTCCCCTGAGATATTACAGCAGGGTTGACACCACAGCTCTGAAGTTCAAACTCCAGCAAACAATAAGAAAGGAGTCCAACCAGAACATGAGAAACGATGGGATTCTTCTGCTCTTTGAAAAATAAGGAAATCATGCTATAAAGATCTGAATGTCCAATTTCAACATTATGACTCCCTGTCCACCTCTTCATTATTCCCCAAACCCAGAATTATCTTTCAGACTAATTCAAAGTATTAACTTAAAAAAAACAGCGGTGCTCATTATAAACTTGCACACTTTCCCAGAAAATGCAAAGACAGAGCTTACCCAGCCATCATGAAAACATGTCAGACAGCATGTTCAAATAAATAATTTGTGCCTATCTGCTTCTTGTCCACTCTCTTGCTCTCTCGAGTACTCAACATTAAATCTAAGGCTCTCATACACATTAACACCATCAACAAGCAGAATTAAAGTTCTACGATATGGATGTACTTCAAATTTCATGGACCAATGAACCTTTACAAACTAAACATAACTGATATAAGTTCATTCCTTGGGAAAAGTGAATTTAACTGTTCCAGGCTGATAAAAACAAATAAGGACCCCTCCATTAGAAAAACCTGAGATTTCAGTCAAATGAGATGATAAAGAGAAAAATTTTAAGATTTTAAAACAAAACAATCTAAATAAAGGATTTAAATAAGATATGAAATCTATTTACTTTTACAGAAATGTGAGTCCTTACTTGAAAATATAAAAAGTGAGTTATTCAGAGAAAAAATGGACTCATAAATACTAAAATAAAAAATACAGAAGCTTATTTAAGACATTCATCTATTCAGTAGCATAAATAATTATTGAAGGTGACAAATTATTTTAAAACATTTACATTTTAAAAATATAAAGAAGTATCAGAATCCTACTTTATGTTACAGAAACTAATTAAAAATGAAAAGTATCCCTTTAGCAAAGGAAGATATGATCTTTAAAATGCTTCTAAACATCTTACCATGTACACTAATTCAATAATCAATGGTTAGCATCTACTGCACAGAGTGCTATGATGTTAAATATTACATTTTACACTGTTATATACTTTATTCTCTTGATGTTCAGAATAAAAAAACATCAGAAATCAAAGGGAGTAGAGGTGAAACACATTTACAATGGACTCCTGCACCATGACCAAGGCCTCCGAGGCCTTCATGTCCGTACTCTTTGTTCTCTCTCATCTCCTCTGTTAGCATTCTCCCCTCACTTCATGTGCTCCTGCCGTACTGGCCTCCTTGCTGTTCCTCAAACACATCGGACATACTCCTGTCTCCAGGCCCCTGTGGAATGCTCTTCCTCTAGACATCCAGATGGCTTCCTACTTCACCTACTTCAGGTATGGAGTCAACTCAGTAAGGAATTCCTTGTCTATTTAAAATTACAATACTTTGTCCTCCAACCCCTTACACGTAATTTTACATTTCCTTAGTCTTCTCCGATCTGAGACTTATCCCAGTCTTCCCTCATCTTGCACAATATTGATGTTATGTCATATGCACTGCAGAATGTCCCACAATTTGGGTTTGTCAGATGTTTTCTCATAATTAGACTGAAGTTATGCATTCTAAAAGCCACATCACCAGAGTTAATGTAGTCTTCTCAAGTGCCTCATATATGACGCATATATTCCAATATATGAGTGCATACGATGTTAATATGTCTTGACTACAGGTGAAGTTAACCTTGATCATGGTTAACGTGGTACATCTCCAAGTTTTCTCCACTGTAAACTACTAGTTTTCTCTTCTTAAATAAGAAATTTTTTGGAGGTACTGTGAGAACATGCAAATAACTCTCTGTCTTTACATTTCTGTCCACACATTGTAGCATTCACCCATGAATATTGCTTGCAGTACCTATTACTGTGGTCTTTTAATAGTAATTTTCTATTTTCCTTCTCTATTTAATGGAAATGCTTTAACAAACCAAACCAATCATCTTTTAAAGATTTCCCGCTTAACTACCAACACAGTGTCAAAGACTACATATAAATCGACCCAAGTGATTCAGGTAGAAGGTGAAGACTATGGCTCAAACTAAAGGCTCTTCACTCTGCCAAGGACATTTGTTTTAGCTTTATCACAGTCCCTTTAAGTGCCTTGGTAGAAAAGAATAGGTGTAAACTTTGTGCCCTTAGCATTTCTGGCCCTAATAAGGGTCTTTTCTATTTCCGTGAAAACATCTTCTATTTTCATTAGCACATTTATGATATTCTTTAATTTACTGATCCAGATAAAACAACACAAATATACTATTTTATGTTTTACAAGATAGATTTTTTTAAAGTGAGAAATGCCAAATTAGTAAAACTTTTACTTCACAGCTGAAAAAATGAATGACCACTGTGTCTATGGGCCTACTGGATTCTAGGGAATCTTAAGGGAATTAGGAACTTCAAGGGAAACAGTTCAACTTTTGCTTTAAGTTAAATTGAATCAGCGCTATGACAATTCTACATAAGAACTGGAATTCATTTACTGACCTGTACTGTTTTACATTTCTTTCTAAATGACCTTAAGTGCTGAGAAAAGGTCTGAGATTCGTTTATATTGCGAACCATTTAGTATTTTAAACAGCAGAAAGACAGCATTCAAATGCTGTCTGAATACTGACACAAAAGCTTCTTCTCTTTATCAGGTACGGTTTTCATTCATCTTCTCAACCAAAATACAATTTTTAAAAATGAAATAAGGATGCAGTGGCTCCAATACCTATAATCCCAGCATCTTGAGAGGCTGAGGAGGATCATTTGAGACCAGGAATTTAAGACAAGCCTCGGCAACATAGTGAGACCTTGTCTAAAAATTTTTTAATATGAAAAAATTTTTAAAAAATGAAATCTTAAGACTTTCACTTCCAACAAAGTTAGAGTAGTGGTAGTATTAGTTGTGGCAGTAACCCACCTAAAACAACTTGAAAATGGACAGAATATATTAAACAATGGATTTTAGACAGAGGGTATCAGGCCGTGCAGGACAATAATCCTTGAGACAAGAGAAACAATCAATGAGGACACAACAACTACCCTTGCTTATAAGACTGAAAAACTTTTCAATCTGCAGTAAGGAGAGGGATTCCAGGTTGGTGGAGCTCAGCAATCTTTGTGAATTGAGGAAGTAGAGGAGAGAGTCTGGGTAATCAAAGGCAGCCAGAATGAATAGGCTAGGGTACTAGACGAGAGAGAACAGCACAGAGAAAGAGCTCTGGAGATGTGCAGAGGGTCCCTCTGAGTCTTCGGCTAAGTACCGACTATCACATGCATGTAAGAAAACTACCAGAAGCTTAAAAGAAAAAAAGAGCCACCTGAAATAAAAAGAGAAAACAATCACCAGGGCTCAGACAGGGTTGGGTAACATTTATGTTCTTACTACTCAGAGTAGAAAAACATAATTCACATAATTCAAAAAAGAACTGCTTAAGTAGCTGGAGGAAAATTAGCCCTAAACTAAAGGCTACTCTGGTTCTGTTAAACAAGACCTTAAAAAAAGGGGGGACGTCTCAAAAGGATCAAACGGCTTCTATTATAAGTAACTTAACTGCAACCATGAAAAATCTAAAGAATATTAACAGAAATAAAAATATTACATAGCACTCAACAATATAAAGTTTCCAAAGATTGGCATCCAAGGAAAAAATCACTAGCCATGCAAAGAAGCAGTAAAAGAAAACAGATAATGGGGAGGAAAAAAAAAAGAAACACTGAACAGAAACAGAAAGTTTCTATTAGTAAAAATGAGTAATAGAATTAGTAGACAATGATACTCAAAGAATTATAATTACATTTTACAGGTAAAAGAAGGCAGAGTAATTGGCATACTGAAGAAAAGATTAGCAAACTTAAAAATACAGAAATAAAAACGATCCTAACTAAAACATGGTAAGGAAAAAAAAGAAAAAAAATGAACAAAGCATCAGTAAGCTATGGGACAACTCCAGGCAATGCAATATACGTGTAATTGGAGTCCCCAAAGGACAGTGAAGACAGAAAATAAATTCAAATAAATAATGGATGAAAAAAATTCCTAAATTTGTATAAACATACAAATTCAAGCTCAACAAATTCCAAGCATAAGACTCATGAAAAAAATTAAACCACCACAGATCATAATCCAGCTGCGTAAAATAAGTAGCAAATCTAAAAATCTTAGTATTAGCCAGAGAGAAATAGGTACATTATATACAAAAGACTAAAGATAAGAATGACAGTAGACTTTTTTAGAAGAAGATAGTGAAGCACCATTTATTAAACAATTCTAAAAGCAAAAAACCTGTCAACTTTGAAATTCACACTCAGTGAAAATTTATTTGAAAATAAAGGTGAAATAAAGACAAACAAACCTAAAAGAATTTTCAAACAAACCTAAAAGAATTCATCACTACCAGAAAAAAAAAAATTTTAATCCTTCAGGTAGAAGAAAAATAATATGAAAAAAGAAGGGAAGGAAGAAAAAAGGAAGAGAAGTGAGTAGGAAAATAAAGAAAACAGGGCAAGGGAGGGAATAAAAAAAGGAAAGGGAGAGAAGAAAGGGATAACAAGTAAAAAGAAAAAGGAAAAGATGGGAAGAAAAGAACCGACAAACCTATTCAATTATGCATAAAAGGCAAAAATAACATTACCACCAGCCCTAAAATTCCCATAACAATGAAAAAAAATATAACAGGAGTCTAAGCAGAAAATCTTTCCCTTAGGAAGTAAGATTTCAAGCTGAGATCTAAAGAATTAAAATAGATGTTGTTTGGTAGTACAACAGACTAGTAAGAACCCAAAATGCTCCACTCAATAACAGCTAAAATTGCTCCATAAAACACTAACTGAACCAATCAACAATGCTTACTATATGCCAGACACTATTCTCAGATGAGGATATAGCAATGAACTAAGTAAACACTAACAGAGGTTACATTTTT